GCATTTGGTCGATGGCACTGGGCAGAACCTCCACCTAACACAGCACAGGCACAGCAGAGATGCGAAAAACCGCGGGGAGCTCGAACGATGGGCCAGGCAGACGAGGGTCGTAAGCAGGCCTTCAGGGGGAAAAGCTTCACGAAAGCTCCAAGATCTGATTCATCCGTCTCATTGCTGAAGTTACGCACAGGTCATGTACCGACGCTGCATACATTTGTGCAGATTTGCTGGGAAGTGGTTCGTGAAGGCAAGGGTTGTCAGCAACTGGATACTCGCCGGAGCAGTCTGGCTGTCTCCTGGATAGCACGCGAATGTGATAAAGGTTTATCTCCAAAGTCTCTCCTGCTGAAGGGATGTAGAGCAGCCGCTCACCGATCATCGTGCCAACTGGAAACAGGACATTCGACCTGGGTGGCTTCACTACCTGCACTCACACGCCTCTGTTCGCAAACCCTCACAGAGAGATGCCCCAGAAGAGACAGGGCTCGAGCTACCTACAGCAGATCCCTGTTCAGCTCAGTATCTCGGCTTCAGATCACGACTTCTACCTTGCCAGGTCCAGGCCGAAGAATCAAGGCAAGGGTCATGGGAACGAAGCTCAGCACGAGTATGGCGAGCCCGATGATAGGACCTTCTGCTGGAGGGCGACCACCCTTTGGCCGCAGCACCTTGCATCTTGCATGATGCCACCAAGGAGTGAAATCATGAATTTTGACAACATTCGGCCGCTCAACAAGTGCAACCCCTGGATGCAATTCAGCTGCTCCAAGTGACAGGACCAGTAGGATGGCAAATCCGAGGTAAGCTGTTACCGGCAAAAGCAGTCGCAGGTCTGCGGCATCAAAAACGAGTGGAACGGCATCAAAGGAGTAGTCGTAGCCTGCCCCAGTTCAAGAAGCAGATCGCTTGAGTCCAAGGTCGAGCATGACTGCATGGGTGGTGGGGTTTGGTCAGATCACGACAAAATCAGACAATGCTTTCCAAGGGGCTAAGGAAGGTTGGACATACCAAAAGCTTGGCGTAGATGCCATGCAGCAAGGCGTAGGTTCGCACGCGAACCCATCGATCACTGTGAACAGCCTAAGAAGACATACGATGGGAACAACTGCTTCTGGGGCAGCACTGCGTTATATAAAAGAGCCACACAGCCTGTACAAGAAGGAAATAGCAGCAACAGCACCGAAAGGGCTGAGTCGAGAATGGCAAAAACAAGCTTCTATGTGGCGCACATGTCGAAACAGTTTCATGTCACTTCCTGCGGAGAAGGCACGACAGGGTTGCTGTGCGGATCCATATTGTCGATTGCAGTCCCACCTGTGTACCTGGGATCTGCCGCCTAGGCCTAGACTTAGACTCACCAATGTGCGCAAAGGCATGCCGCAGAACTGACCCCGACCCTCCCAAAGCTAAGCAAAGCCGCCCAAGGTCTGGAAAAGATGACACGCACAGTTTGGGGTTTGCTGGATGCCGCCAGCATGCCAAACTCTCACACCACAAGAAATGGTTCCCATCACCAAGATGGCCAGCAAGCGAAGGGCGCGGAAGACTTGCGCATGGCTGGTGCTAGTCAGGCCTCCCGGCACCAGCACCAAGACGGTCACAACCAGCCCACAACAAAAGAGGGGCTTAGAAGCTGGCAGTGCACAGCTGTTCTGCGACTCTCGCCTCGGAGAATCTCCCAACCGGCCAGCAACCCAAAGAAGCAGAAGCCTCAAGCTGCGACAGCACGCAGTGCGCTGCTTACTACTTGCACGAACAACTGAGCCCCAAAGTTCTGCATCCTCTTCTTCCCTTCCCCGCCTGTCTCTTTGCAGAGCCCGGCTGCCACCAACAGCACGGAAGCCGAAATTGAGAGTGCTGGTGCCAGAATACCAAAGCCGGCTCTTTCCTGCAACGCCACCCACTCGCTACTTGCAGCTCTCCTGGACGTTGATACTGCTCGTCTCGCCGCCGAAAGGCGGCATGGTGACAACGCAATGCAAAAGCTAGCACATGAACTGAAGCTGCTGTTCTGTCAATCAAGGGATGTCCACCAAAACCGAAGGCACCACCCCAAACCAATCCTTTCAGGAACTCAACTCAAAAGTTGTTGCACTAATGGTTGGCTCTCCCGAGACTTCGCCCGTAAATGCGGGATGCTGTGCAGAAAACTCTTGCGATTTGTCTGGCGAGGGGTGAAAATGTTGGTTGCGCTCACCTCTGACTGCAATGAGTAGCTAAATAGCTGTTTATGCTTCCTGGCTGCGACTCTCACACGGCTGGAGCTTCAGCATCATGACCCTTGTCATCCGCCACTAGCGCTGTCGGCCGAGTCGCTTTGATGCAGGGCGCATAGATCAGGGCTGCCAGCAGCACCAGAAAGAGGCACAGGAGGTCGGCCCTGCCCACGATGTAGAGCACCTCTAAGCGACAAAAAGCGACTCAAAGGGCGCCGTAACCGGGGCCTGGGCCTTCTCTGCTTTAAAGCGAGCAGCGGATTCCGTGTGCACCGGATGCGCCAGGAAGAGGGCCCCCAGCAGCACCGCCCAGTCCAGGCTGACGCCAATGCGCTGCCCGAAGACAGCAAGGAGCACCGCGCAGGCCTCACATGAGAGTCGAGGAGTCGAGCGTATTGGCTTGCTGCCAGTACCGAGAGGTGCCCGAGATTTCCCTGAATCGGAGGTGTTGTTGGGAAAACGTCATGATGACTGGAGCCAAAAGGAACTGGGCTTTCGAGAACTCCCGAGGTCTTGCCCGCGAATTTTCGCGCAGACTGTCTTGAACCAAATCTCTGTGCCCTCCTAGGGACAGCGTTCAGCACGATATTGACGATGTGGAAGCCCGAACCTGAGTCTTTAGATGGGCCGCTATCCGGAGGTTAACCAAGTTTGGGCATTTAAAGGACAACAGCCCAAATTCTGCATGCTGCAAAGGATCCACCAAACTCGTGAACCGCATGATTCCAGCGGAAGGTCAGCACGGTCAAAGGTCGGAAAGATTTATGGGTCCAAGGACCCTGCCAAGTTGACGAATCCGCAGTCTTCTACCACGGGTTACGCCAATAAGACAGCTGATAAGCTCGAACCATACTCGCAAAAAACTACGTCCAGTGCACAACAAACCAGCCTCGAACATGTCCAAGCCCCAATAGTCCGTCCGGAACAGGCGGCGCCAATTCAGCGCTTCATAGACGTTGGGATTTTTCCTCGGCACTTCGGCTGCGCGTCAGCGAAGAAAAGGGGCGGGAGAGAGAGAGAGAGAGAGAGAGGTCGAGTGACAAAGACAGTGAGACTGAGTAATTCGGAGCCACAGCAGGCGGGGAGCGAGAGCGAGAGTGAGAGTTAAAGTTGGAACGAGCATCACAGGCAAAGTAAGAGTGAGAGGGAGGATGAGAGTGAAAGTGCGAGTGCGGGTGAGGGTGTGCGACTGAGCGTGCCCTGTGAGTGTTGCAAGTGACTGTGCGGGTGAGAGTGCCAGGGGGGGTGCAGATGACGGAATGGACGAGGGTGAGAGTTATAGCGGGTCTACTCCCGATTGCTCGAATGTCAAGGTCACGTACCATCTTACCCGGGCTTTGCCACAAGATGGTGCTATCGGCCATCCATTGTCTGCAGCATGAGTCTCTTGATCATAGCATCATCCATGAAGAAGCCTTTCGCAGGGCCGCAGGGCCACGGCCGCAGAGACGTTTTGAAGCAACAAAAAACTCATGCACCTGCAGGTTCTGCCGATAGATGCCGATAGCATGTCGGAAAGAGGCACCCCTGCGGTCTAGTTTTCCTCGTGTCCCACGCGCCTCCCTCGAAGTCGTAGCTCAGCGCAGGTACCCAGGCCAAGGCTGCGATGAAGGCCAAGCAGCTGGCAGCAAGCAGCAGGGGCAACGAGGGCCTGGCCTGTGTCGGCAGAGATAGGATCTCCAAGCGTTCCAAAAAAGGCTCCGAGTGCCTCGGCGCTCTCGGCACGCCGCCCCAGCTTGGCCAGCTCCCCCGCACGCCGCCGAAGGCCTCTGTCGCATCGGCCACCAGGGGTTGCGACGACTTGGCTCCTTTGGATCAGCCCCGGCCTTCTACATCAACTGTGCCTGCAGCTTCTCGCCAGAGCTCTGGGGAGGCCTGGCTACCAGAGAAATCCCTCATCTTCAGACCTTCACCTTGCTAGTCTGCTAGTTCTGTAGTTCTGGTGCTGCTATTATTCCATGACCCAGTGCAGGCAAGCAGTCTTAGTCTTAGCCCTTTCAGCCTGGTTCAGCCCGGCGATGAGCTCACCTTGTCGCACCAAACGTTTTCTGCATGTGTCCACGTGAGTCGCCCTGGGCCCTGCATGTGCAAGCACATTCTGCGACAACCAAGCTCCTGGCACAGCTCATCCAAGGTCTTGACGACGGGCTTTCTATTCGCAGGCATCTGAACACCGACGATGAGAAGCAGTGCAACTCCCCGAACAGTGCTGTCGGAGCCTGACTTTAAAAGGACCGATACGGTACGGGATAGTTGCACAAGTTAGAAGAATTTCTGGAGCCTCGACCTGCGCCTTCTTGCATAGATTTCGGCATGCTGAGTACCCATCAAGTGGCGACGGGAGCTGTTCCATGCCTTTCCAAAGATCTGCACACAAGAGCCGTAGTCTGTCATAACTTCGACAGCACAAGTGGCAGGCAACCGCTGCCTCTGCTTTTTTCCCTCACCGTGCTCTGTGACTGGGCCTGCTCCTTCTTCTACTTAGTCTTTCCACCGGGCAATTCCAGTTCGGAGGCGGTTCGTTCGGATCAGTGTGAAAAGTCGGTGGCAAGTCTGTAAAGATCCGAACAGGACGGGCCGTGCTGCTTGAGGCAGCAGCAGCTGGCCGATCAGACGCCGTCGTAAACCCGTCCCAGGCGGGCTTCATTGGTTTTGCACGGCCCTTGCGGCTGGCACGGCCTCAGCATAGCAACTACAGAGGCAACATGTACACAGGCAAAGGCCTTGCATGGCGAAACACAAGTTCGGAGAATTGGTGATGCTCTTTTCCCCAGGCTGATCTTCTCACCACATCGTCTTGTTCGCCGGAGGCCAGACGACAAACGTCTCACTTCCCAAGAAACGTGCATTTGTCTGGTGATGTGGGCCAACCTCCAGGCCAACACCACCAGCAATCACCATCTTGACTTTTGCCCAGGGGGTGTACTCCAACTTGTGGGAGTTGTCTTCCTGGCTTTTCTCGCCATATATAATGGGCCAATTGTTCTTCACGCACTGGCTTAGAGGTGAAAGTTCTCTGGCTCGGTTCCAGAGCTGCTTGCTCAGAGTCGTGTGCCCGCCGTTTTTGGCGGCAACGGCAGCTTCACCTGCCAGGTTGTGCGTAAGTTTTGCCTACTGCCCTGTCCCATTGCAAGAGTCTTCTGGAGGCGAGTGGCACATCAAGACACCGGCCCCCGGGCCAGCGAGATTCAGCAGCGGAGCTTCACCAGCCTTGCCTTGCAAAAGGGCAGAAACCGAATGCGAGAAGCGAATGCGATTCCCCCCCCCTTATCCGACTCTAAAGCTCGGGAGGGTTTGAAAGGGCTCTGCCGCCTGGTCTTGACCTGCGCTCGACGAAGGAGGCCGAGAACCTGGAATCCTGGAGCGCCAGGTCGTAAAACAGAATGACTTCTGTCAGCACCTTCACCTCAGGCACAAAGCATGGGCCAACTCTGTCCATTCCATGCTCCTGTGTAGTTTGCATAAACGAAGTAAACTGGGGTCAGAAGCGATCCCCACAGCATTAGCATTCTTGCGCTTGCTCAGGAATCGTCTGCATGTCCGAGCAGCATTGTTCGGCAGCAGGCTGAGGGCTTTGTCGTAGAACGACTTGGCCTCCTGCGGCCTGTTGGCATCCACATCCAGAAACCTTGCTTGGTAGAAGTTCACATAGCCTCGATTGTCGCATTTGTCGCTCACATGGCTGATGCGAAGACGCAACTTAGAGTGATCTATTGCAAAGATCACGCATGCATGTGCGAGCGAATGGAGGCCGCTGCTCTCTTCTGAACTGATATGGGGGACTTTACAGTCCACATCCCCACGGATTGGGAAGTCGCTTCGCCGAGAAGCCATTTTCTGGGAACGTCTTGAGGGCCCACTTTCGCAGCTCGGCCGCCACCTGAGACACAGCAGAACAAGTCTCATCAAGGCATGGACGACCTGTTGGGTATTCAAAACCGCGTCAAAACCCTACACTTAGCTACCTTGTCCGTTTCGTTGCTCGTCTACGTGCCTCCCAGCTTTCCAGTTTCTCCGACTGGTTTAGCAACGGTCGACACTGCATGCACTCCGAATCAACCTATGACAAAGTTTCAGGCTTATCAGTTGCCAGTCCAGCGGCCTATCTGGTTAAGAATGAAGCAACTTTCTTGTTTTGTTCACGTAGCATCGCTTAATTTCTTGGGCCGTAGTATTAAGCTCAAACGATGTTTGCTGGTGTTGCTTCTTAACAAGGTCTTGAACAAGCACTCATGTCTGGATTTCTTGCTCTCTGTCTCTTCTTCGTCAGGGCTTGAGGCACACGTCAGCTCCCCCGGCAACCAGGGCCCATCCCTGGAGTGTGAATTTGTTTCTGTCTTTCACATTCGCCCAACTACAGTAGTGGTTGGTTTGACACGACTTGTCTAGTACAAGCTGTGTCTGCCTCCAGCAGATTACCGGAGCTTTGGAAATGATCGTAGCTTGCCGGTCAAGCATAGCTTCTTCATGAAGTCAGACTTGTTGAAATGCTCTCTCTTCGTGTTTAGCCTGATTCGCTTTGCATGATCATCATTGTCTGCTATGCGGCTATAAGAGTCACTGCTGCAGGCCTTGGGCTTCTTCATGCCGTGATGGAAGTGAGCAGCAGCTTCCATCAGCCGAGGCCCACAATGTTGGCCTGACGTGTGGTCTTGGCGAGCGGCTTCGAGACTGTGGTCTTCGGAGGGGCAGCAGCTTCCGACATTGCGTTAAGAGGAGTAGCGTAGCGGTCGTCGTAGTCGCAGTTGGAGCAGCAGGAGAAGGATGGAACAGTAGTAGTAGTAGTCGTCGTCGTCGTCGTACTAGAAATACTAGAAGTATTAGTAGGACTACTGCTAGTAGCACTTGTAGTACTGGTAATACTGGTAGTACTGGTTGTTGTGATAGCATCTGTAGTGGTAGCAGGAGTAAGAGTACGAGTAGGAGTAGGAGCAGCAGCAGCTGGAGTAGCAGCCGGAGAAGCAGCAGCAGTAGTAGCTGCAGTAGCTTGTCGTGGTAGAAGTAGCAATAGCGGTAGTAGAAGCAGCAGTAGTAGTAGCGTTGTAGCTGTAGTTGTAGTTGTAGTTGTAGTAGTTCTTGTTGTTGCTGTTGTAGCTGTTGTTGTTGCTGCTGCTGTTATTCTTGTCGTTCTTTATCGTGTTATTGTTCTTGTTCTTCTTATTGTCGTCGTCCTCGTCGTCGCAGTAGGAGCAACAGCAGCAGCAGAGAGAGGAGCAGCAGCAGTTCTACTTGTTATTGTCATTCAGCCAGAAAGCAAGCAAACACATTGACTACTAGAAGCAAGAAGACGACGAAGGGAGGGAGAAGCAGGACGAGGACAACGGCGATTATTGCCGAGTCGAATCGACTAATGAAACCGTCTGTGTGAGCCTCGCAAATCCTGTTCACCACCGATACCATGACCCGAAATGAAGCTACCTGATAACCAATACTGAAGGCCTACACTTTGCTTACATACCGCCACCTTGAGTCTTCTCGCAGGTCTGCACATAGTCCTTCCAAGTCTCCGCCTCTTCCAGCCAGCTCTGCACGTCCGAAGCACGAGGAGCCGGGTTTGTTCTCAGAGGGTTCTTTCGCAATCGAAAGACGGCATAGTTGCCATTCATGAACATCAGCTTGAAAAACCTGGACCGCGCGTGCAGCTTCATGCACATCAGGTCTTCTGTTTTGTGTTTCTTCGAATTGCAGTTCTTCCTCTTGTCGTCTAAGTTGTATGGTGTGAAGAAGCACCGCGAGTACTCGAAGATAACAAGCTTGGCGCTCAACTGCTCCATGGTCTTCGCAAAGGACTCCTCGGAGCCGCAGTTGTACAGCTCGTAGGCTCGTTGCACGCGTTTGCGAAGATTCTCAGACTCAAACTGCGGGTGGATAATCATGGGTACATGTGTGAATGCCCTCATGCTCCCCGCCAAGTTCATAGAGGCCAGCACAGGCGTACCCGCCGGAACAACATTGTTGATCCAGTCATACAGGTCTACCAAATCGCCATCGTTGGAAAACTTGTCTGCCATGTGCTGACATATGCCTTCCTCCGCTGTGATGCAAGGAAGCATGCTTCCCATCCAACACATGTGTGCAAGCCATGCCAGTGACAGAAGTGTTGCCAAGCTTTTCGGGAACGCGCTTTGGAGAAAAACAGGCACCAGCCGTGGACCCATGACCGCGGCTGCCAACACCATCATAGGCGGTCCAAATGCCACGCGCAGGCGGTTCACCAAACTGCCAAGCAGCATGAAGAGTAGGAACTGCACCACGAAGAACAACAAAGCGGCATCTTCAGCCTCCACTTGTACAGGAGAGGAGGAGTCGAGTGGTGTCTCAGACTTTGACCCAGCTCGACCACGCCCGGCTTTGGGCTCCTGTTGCACACAGTAATTCTCTATTACCCACCACCCACCATCATCAGCACCACCACCATCATCATCCTGATGGTCATCCCTGAAGATTATCACGGCTACAGTTATGAAAGCCATGATAGTAAACAAACAACGACAATAATAACTACTGGCAATGACTACTTTGCCGTGTCCTCTTTCTTTTTTTTGGTGGCGGCGGCAACGTCCTTCTGCGCGGCACCCGAAGCTGTCTCGGGTGTGTCCTCAATTTTGGCCTTGCCTGTCGTACCCAGGCGGTGGGACACAGCCCGAATCATGATAAGTACCATGGCCCCTGCAGCTGCCGGTGCTGCGGTGGTTTTGATGTAAACTTCGGCAGACGACCACTCCAAGATTTTGAACACGCCCATGATGAGATACAAGTTTGCATTGAAGCTTGGCTCAGCACAAGCTGGTAGTTGGCTAGCAGACAGCTGCATGCGCTTTGGCAGCATGTCATTGATTGTTGACACCTTCGTGCACAATATCTCGTAGACATGTGTGTCTGCAGTTGCGAAGGGGGCTAAGGCCTTCCGCACTAGCAAGAATACGACCACTGCGATGAGGCCCTCGGCAACATGCGCTAGCCGTCGAGCTATCCACGACAGCCAACCACGATGGGTACGGGAGCGGCAGCAGCAGACGGAGGTAGATGCTTTCAGGGCCACGAGCTGGAAGAAGAAAGGAGAAGTTAGCAAGTACGGGCTTCCGAAGTGTGCACACACTGCCAATGCTAAGGACAAGCCGTACACGTTGAGGATCTCAACCAGAGTGGGCCGAATACTCTCAAAGCCCAGCACAATGCAGACGAAGTACAGGGCCGTTGCCTGCAAGAGCAGGAGGAACGGACTGAACTGCCAGGAGATGATGAAGGCGAAGGTTGTTAGTACCAGGCCAACGCGCAAGCGTCGGCGCATTGTTGCCTTGTAGGATGTCAAGAGCGCGCACCAAACCAGGTACGACTGCACCCAGAGGAGTGGAATGCCCCAAAGCTCTCGCAAATCTGAGCTAGTGTAGTTACCCAAGCGGCTAGTTTGGAATCGGTTAAGGAAGGAGGCCAAATAACAACCCACTGAAGCCAGAGGATTTCCAGAGATTTCCGCTGCAAGCAGGCCCAGGGTAGCCTGACCCAGTCCATTCAACAGGATGATGTGCATCCGAAAGAAATGGAAGGGATGAGGCAGCTCCAACCCGAAGCCACGCAAAAAGCGGAACTCGAGAGCTAGCAGGATCTCCTGGTAAATATTGAATCGGCGGATCGCGTTCAAAGTGTCTGGGTACTCCGTCCGCCTGTCCCAGACAATTCGACTTAACCCATCTGCAAAGGACTCCGTGTCCACAAGTTCCTGGAAGTACGAATAATAAAAAGCATTCTCCGTTTGCAGTGCTGCAACAGCTGCAGTGTCTGCCGGCAGCCGGTTCAAGATATCTAGATACACCGCGTTCTCATACACATACACTGCACCTGTCATCAACGAGAGTACCACTCCAGAGACACGATTGAACTTCGTGATCCGTTCCTCCATGGCTCCGCACACAGCTCGGACAAGTCCGGGTGAGGATTCTTCGGTGGGAACGAGCATTAACACCTGATCTTCTTGCGCAATTAACGAGTGAAGAAAGACGTCTTTTGCCAGCATTCCCACATTACAACCGAAAAACATGCACTCAGCAGTGTGCCTAAGGAGCATTGCATGTACACTCACCAAGATCCCTGATGATCTCGTCTGGACTGTCGCAGTTCTGGCAACAAGACTTGGCCAAAGGTTTGAACGCCGTTGCACTGTCCTCAACCTGCCGCATCATGTGGCTGCTGTCATGATCCAAAATGGCTATGCAGGTCGTGGTTGCCCTCTGACCATGGATACTCGGAACCGTTCCCGTGGGGCTGTCTTGGTAAAGAACCCAAACCTACATCTTTTCCCGAAAGACGGGGAGCAAAGTGATGCAATTTCCACATGCAGCCGCAGAATTCCTTTCCAAGCGGTGTGCATGACGCTTGCGCACAATACGTACCTCGCATGCACCTAGCATGCATCACCCGCGCAGCCAACATCTTGCAGATAAAGCACTTGGCTGTGGCCGGGCCATGCCCCCGAACAGAGCCGCAGCGGCAGTCTGAAAGGGATTCATGCCAGACACTGTGGCTTCAGTCTATGTTCGGTACACTCTGAAGCCCCCTGCCTTCGACGTTTCTTGCTCCAAGCTGAGGGCAAGCTTCCTCGATTCAAGGCTGGGGTGAGAGTGAGCTTTCGATCAGGAGATTCGTTGGCCATCGCATCAACAATTACCAAGAAGCTCTGCCAATTGCTCGATCCGGAGGTGGATTTCTTTCCTGAACACGGATCCCATTCTTGCCTACGCCGTGTTGTAAGCAGAGTTCCCATCACTGGTCAAGGTATGGAATTTTCCCACCCACCCAGCTGACAATGTGGAATGGATGCCTGGCTGCGACCGTTCGTTGGGTGTCAGCTGTTTCGATACTTTGCTAGAGATTCTGTTGCCGTGAGGCTGCAAATGTGATAGTGTGGGTTGGGGGGTGAGCACAGGTGGTGTACTCTGGGCGTCCCCGACGAGGTGGAGAAGGAAGCCCAGACAGATGGAGGGGCAACTAATGTTGACTTCCTAGTAATAACCCCCCCCCCCCGTTGATTGTTTGGTGGCCCCGAGTGGGGGGATTGACTTTTTTTTTTTGGGGGGGGGGGGGGGGGTCGGTCGTCGTAGTACAGTATTACAATAGGACAGTAGTAATAGTACAGCAGTAGTACAGTAGTACAGTATCACAATAATGTCGACATAAGTACAGCAGTAGTACAGTAGCGGACAAGGCACGTTTGGTAAAGTATGCATTGTGCTTTACGATCCCAGCAGCGAATAATGATGCTGCTCTCCTCTCCCTCCTCCTTTGCATCCCGAAGCTTTCGCAAGCAAGGGCATGGCTCTTAAAGCTAGGTTATTCCAACCCAATCACTCTGCTCCTACATTCTTAAAGCTAGGTTATTCCAATCCAAGACTCTGCTCCTACAGCTTGCTGTCCTTTTGAATCCAAAGCTTTCCCAATGAAGGGCTTGGCTTCTAAAGCTTGCTGTCCTGTTGAATCCAAAGCTTTCCCAATGAAGAGCTTGCAAAGCTTGCTGTCCCTTTGAATCCAAAGCTTTCCCAATGAAGGGCTTGGCTTCTAAAGCTTGCTGTCCTTTTCCATGCCTTCAAAGGCACCACCACACGGCCCGCCCCGGGGGGAGCTTGTAATTGAGGGGGTTTATAATTCAGAAGAACGGCTTGTGTTAGTACTCTATCAGGATGGATTGATTTTTGGCTCCGGGAATAGCCAAAGCTTTTGCTGTCCTTTTCCATGCCTCTAAAGGCACCACCACACGGCCCGCCCCGGGGGGGAGTTTATAATTGAGGGGGGGGTTATAATTCAGAAGAACAGCTTTTTTTTGCACTCTATCAGGATGTATTGATTTTTGGCTCCGGGAATAAGGAGTTTTATTAAGGAAGGCATGGTTTCTGAAGCCCTCTAAATCTGCGGTTTCGGAGTCCCGTGGCTTTGGAAGCCAAAGCTTTCCCAATGAAGGCCTTGGCCTCTAAGGCTTGCTGTCCTTTTCCATGCCTCTGAAGGCACCACCACACGGCCCGCCCCGGAGGGAGTTTATAATTGAGGGGGGGTTTATCATTCAGAAGAACGGCATTTGTTAGTACTCTATCACGGTGGATTGATTTTTGGCTCCGGGAATAAGGAGTCTTATTAAGGAAGGCATGGTTTCTGAAGCCCTCCAAATCTGCGGTTTCGGAGTCCCGTGGCTTTGGAAGCCAAAGCTTTCCCAATGAAGGGCTTGGCTTCTGAAGCTTGCTGTCCTTTTCCAGGCTTCTAAAGGCGCCACCACACGGTCCGCCCCGGAGGGAGTTTTTTACTGAGGGGGGGTTAATAATTCAGAAGAACGGCTTTTGTTAGTACTCTATCAGGATGTATTGATTTTTGGCTCCGGGAATAAGGAGTTTTATTAAGGAAGGCATGGTTTCTGAAGCCCTCTAAATCTGCGGTTTCGGAGTGCCGTGGCAGCTGCAGTTTCTCTCTCTCCGCACGCCTGAAGCGGTCGTAGTAGCTGCAGTTTCTTCTTCTGCAGGGCTTAAGGGGCTGCTCAGGCCCCCCGGCCTCGTGGGCCCCCCGTTTGTTACGGGGCTTTCGGTGGGGCGTGAAAAACATGGGTTCCCCCAGGTGATGCCGTAGATTTATATTGAACTCTAGAATGCAGTTTCTCTCTCTCTCTCTCTCTCTCTCTCTCTACCTCTCTCTCCTCTCTCTGCCACAAAACAACAACACAAGACAAGAAGTAGCTCTTTTTTTTTCGGTTCCCGGCTGGGGGTTTCGTAATTGAGGGGGGGTTTGTTATTGAGTTCCGGGGTGGGGTTGTGTGATTGAGGGGGGGATCAGCATTAGGTTGTTCCGGTAAGTACAAAGCCTTGCGAGCTCGTGCCGCATCCCTCAAAAGCTCCAAAGCGCAGCATGTTTGGCCCGTGATGACGCATGTGTTGTAAGTGTGATGCCGTGCCTGATGAGCAGCTCCATGCCGCATGCCTTTTGGAGGGCGCGCCTTGGATGCCCAGAACCGCGTGATGATTGGCGGCTAGCCGGGGTTATTGACAACTCGGACATGCTCTGTAGCAGCCAATAGAGTCAGGCACAAACTGGGCACAACTCGTCGAGCAAGAAGTTGACGGCCGGTGCGTGCGACGTGCACTTATGTGCTGGCTCTTATTACCACGTACACGTACCTTACAGCCGTACAGTTGGTGCCACACTGTGCCGCATAAAAGACATCATTCAACAGAGGCTCTTTGAATCCGGCTCCTGTTGCCAGGCGCCGCAGATCATGGCACCCAGACCCAGTGGCCAACCTGGTCCGCTGCACAAACAGACAAGACTTGCACTTGGGCACTTTGTCGCTTACCACTGCCTCCGTCCAGAGCCAGTTGCAGCAGATCGCCGAGCAGCGCGCGTGCAGCGGACACAAACTCTTCCTCACGAGCCCATATTTTGAGATCTTAAGCTGAAAGGTAGGCCAAAGTCCTCGTCTGCCATCAGGTTCATGATGATGACAGAGATGACGTGCGGCACCAGGTTTCTGAAGGCATCCGACACATCAGCCTGGACATTGGAAACCTACACGTGCCACCGCACAGCTGGGAATGGAGAAGCACACATTTCGCCTTGACATGGCACAACCCGTCAAATGCCGGGCGGTCACAGCGACTGTGCAGCCGGGCCTTTGGCAAACCCTGGGCAAAAGCCAGAACTCCTCGTGATCTTGAGTTTAGAGCCCGAGCGCAGGATGCACTGCTTCCACAACCGAGCACATTCTACTCCCACCGGCCCGAGTCCTTCCCAAGCTTCCATGACTCCGAGCTTCAAGTCCCGATCGCCGCTGCATGCGTGTCCTCCGAGGCCGCCGTGGTCAAGTTAAGTCAAGCACAGGAATGCGACGAACTTGGGCCCCAAACATGTGAAGCTATGCTGCTCGTTTATATCACAGGCAGAAACCGCAGCTCGGGGCCACCAAACCAAAACAAATGCCGAGCAGCTCCCGGCTGAGATTATCAGGCCACAGGTGATATCATAACGACCTGCACAAGTGCTGGAGAGGAGCATTGAGCATTGCACTTCATCGCACAGCATCCTGTTCAAGGAGCTTTGCAAGGCCTTCGCCCAGCAGATCCTTCAGGTCCTGCGTTCGCGAGATGGGCTCACGTCTGCAGATCACTTCCACATGTATGCCAGTCATGTATATATAGAGCACTTGGCATGGTTCCCACAGGTATGTCAGTGTTTCGGTACGGGAAGCCCTCAACTCCGCGAAGTAGCGCCTCTTTGGCAGCGGCCATAGTAGGGGCGAAGCGGTGCACGTCTCCAAGGAGGCTCAGCAGCCGCCGCGCACAAGGCGAATTCTGGCAGAGCTGCTGGTTGTCATTACACGTGGTCACTACACTGCACCATGTCCTCACCAAAACGAACATCTTCCGAGTAGTTTCGACTTAAACCCAAATGTTTCTCAGCTCGACTGCATCTTTCTCGCAAGCCTACGACCTGGTAATCTGGACTCAAGCGCCTCGCCGGCGCTGGAAGTGGAGAGCCAGCTCTGAGATCCTGGGAGAATTTGGAGGTGGTCTTTGGAGCTGGGTGGCTTAGTCCTGGGGCCGCCGCCCAGCATCAAGCCTCAGCTAGGCCAGGTTCGTGGCCGCCGTGAGGTTGTCAAACAAGCTTATTGAAGGGAGTAGCCTGTTACACTGTTACATTCTTACCTGGCATGCATCATATATAGACTTTTGCGGGCAGATTGCGGTGATGTTGCATATCCGACACTAAATCCTGAAGCGGGAACGTGTATCAGGTGGCGAAAACGTTGAAGGCAGCCAGGCATCTCTTCAACCACGGGGTGAGGTCTTGAGCAGGGCAGAGTTTGGTATCCAGGACCGCTCCACACGCCTCGTCTGACCAGAAAGTTGGGCAAGGAAATTGTGCAACTTCAACATCAGGTGCCATTGCTGACACGACGGAACCAAGCCTGCGCTGTGGTGGCTGCAAGCTCAATATTGTCCTGCCAGTCGCTGCGAAAGGTCTCGTATGACAGAAAACGAGGGCGTCAAAACGTTACGAATGGATTGCTGCAGTTTTCCGTGCGTCGCTGCTGATGTCCAAGACTGCTCTCTGCAGCGGTGCTCAACCTAAAATGCAAGACTTCGTATCGTTGCGTCATTCTGGCTCCTGGCAGTCGCATCCAAACTTGGCAAACGAAGTCCTCCTGGCCTAACGCGTCTTGAAGCTTGTCTCGGGCGTCACACCACACCTCCGGCCAAAGTGAGCAGGAGAGAGCAGTCCCTAACCCTGTTGATTGGTGCTGACATTGACACTGGCATGAAAGGCTCGGAATTGAGGCTACGACTGTCTCATCTAAACTCTGCACAATCGTGGCTAGGCTGCCAAAAGTCCTGCAGGATAGCAGCGGAACAGGAGTACTTGAGAAGAGGCCCCACGAAAGCTAGGGCAACAAAAAGATGCAGAGTCGATAGAGCTCGGATGCAAGCACCTATACATTGCCATGAAGCTTAGACCTGCAAGATCATAGTGTTCTTCTGCTTTACCATGGGCCACATGCAGATACACCGTTGTCGTGCCGTAGTAACTTGACCGACCTCGATGGCTTCCGGAATGTCCCTGCATAGGCAATCATGTGGCCATCTACGAGCAGCTTCGAACAGTCCTCGACTTGAAACCTGCTACGCGAACGCACTCGGCCGCATGAAGGACAAAATGCGAGCCGCCATGTTGCACAAAGAGATGGAGGGGTGGACCAAAGGCCTTGTGGTGGGGGCACCCTCTTGGCTCTGAACCAATCATTTGTGTGCTGCTGTGGGCGCAACCCCCCTCCCGCGCGTTTTACCTCCTGAGAAAGGACCAGACAACGCAATTTTGACCGGGTGCTCTACTGGCTGAGTGAATGATAAACGACAACTCCCGCAAGCTCCACAGAGCTAGCTTTCGCGTCGACTCCTTTCATGACTCGGGTCCTGAGGCACACGATGTTGACACTGTACTCTGCCTCATCGGACGCATTGATGACCAAGACGCCCAGCCTAGGCCCGAAAGTCCCACGAGTTACCAGGTCCAGCTGTCGCTTAAAGCTGCCAAATTGAGAAATAGACTTGTTCCTTCACGGCAAGCCCCACAGCTCAAGACTCACGCAGCTTTATGCTTGCCAGGGTGCAAGCACTTGGCAATTTGCGAGCTCTGCCTATACATTCTTCAAGTTCGATACACAAGACCGCACGTTCAGGAAATAACAAGGGGCGTCATGAGGCGTCGGTAACTGTAAGTGTAAATCTGAAACGATCTTCACATTGAAACTCTGCAGTTGCACAATGTTGCACAATCATCATGAAGAGTTGCTGTTTTCAAGTCGAGTTGCTCCCTGTCCAGTTGCCACCGTATGCCGGCCAAGCCCATCACGGCTGCTTCCAACACGAGGGCCTGGCTTTGGGAAAGTCTGCGAGCAACGGGTAACGTCTGTAAAACTTCATGGAGACGAAACTGCATTGTTGTCAGTTCCAGGCACCGTGAGGCGCAGCAGGGAGCCCTCCTGCCGCTGCGGTAGCAGAGCGGCAGCCTGCGACCTGAGGACCAAAACGATGCTACGAAGGGATCCTGCCTGTCTTTGAAAACAGCTGTGTCTTGGGCATTCTAAAACAAAGACCAGAGGCATCCTGTAAGCAGGCAAAAGTGGTCCAAAACATGGCGTGAAACGAGGCGGCAGCCCTCGCAGGGAAAGAAGCTCAGGGGGTATGGATCTCTGCAAGCTTTGAAGTTCTTTGAAGGGTGGGACGCAGCCCATGGCGAGCCTGCTGGCTCCGGGGCCTCCGTCCCCTCCTCGTACTCCCCGGCCCCGCCCCTCCCGGCCCACGTGCTAATCGAGCCTAAATGTGGACTTCTCTTCGACCGGGGGGAGAGGCGGACGACGCGAAGCATTTACAATAATACTTGTCCTGTTTATGCGTTGAAACGAGTACTATAGTGGAATACACCCCGCAACCCTTTCAAACTTTTGAAGGTCCCTACAATACACGCCATGCTTTTTGCTGCCGTCCGAGAGGCGCGAGGCTGCCCACTTGCTGTCCAAACTGCTCCCGCGTTGGGAACGCGGAGGAGATTTCATCAGACCAGTGCTGCGCAAGAGTCTCTACAGCCTCAGCTCTTAACGGAGGGCAGAGAGAGAAGAAGGGCGAGAAGAAGAGAACTCGACGAGCGCCAGAGCCCAGTGAAGCAGGGAAGGAGGGGTTCAGTTGCTACTCGTACATCTTAATTGAGATTTTCGTACCTGGAACGTCTGCGAGCACTTCTGCACACCACCGCACATAGCCAAGGAACCTGCTGCAGAACCTCAAGGAGGGTGCCATAACCAGCGTTGTAGGCTGGCTCTTGGGACAGGAGTTCTAGCAGTGTCTTGGACAGCTCCTGCCACGAGGCGATGAATGAAGTCGGAACTCGAATCCCAACCCACCCGGCCTGGCCTGAAAGGCCTGTTGGATGCTCACTTCCACCCTCCCTCTCATCGCCGGCTCCCGGGTCATGGCAGTGATGAAGAGCGAGAGGAGCTGCAACAGCGAGCCTGTGTCTTCGCCTGGACCCGCCCGGCTGCGGAAGATCGAAAACGAATCCCACTCTCGCAAAAACCACTGTCAGCGAGCGCGTGTCGGCCTCCTTGTATCATTTTTCACTGGGACTTTTGCGGCTGAGCTCCAGGCACTGGCCGGCAGCTCTGAGCCGTGTCAGCAAGAAATCGAGGGTTTCGCTTCGAACCACGCCGGCCTGCAACATCTCCACTTCGAGCAGTCGACGATCTGTAAGGTTTACTGACTGTTCGACAGCTTCCCGCAGGCATGGACTGCGAAACTTGAGCCGTGGCAGAACAGTGCATCTCGCGAAACGTGCACCCCTCCCCCAGCTTGAGCCTCGAGCTCCTCAAACATCTCACCTCTGGTCTGACGGCTGCAGAGCATTACTTTCAGGGAAGAACGCCTTCACTCAGTCGCCCCGTCTGCTCAAGAGAAAAGCTCCCTCGGTGCGAACTGAGCTGAGGCCTTTGCCTTCACATCTGCGCCGCCCTTCCGGGAAAAGGCGGGCGATTGCATCACGAAGGAGAACGGAAACCTGCCAATTGCTGCACCGCAGCTCGCGATTGTACTGAGATCAGAGGTAGTTCTGAGGCACCGGACCTCAGGACATTTGGTAGACACAGGCTTCTTGCAAAGAGGACATTCTCGTCGTCCGGACCGGAGTGACGAGGAGTGCAGATAGGACTCATAGCAAGCCTCTCACAACACCAGAGAATCATGACGTGCCAAAGGCGAATCACAGTCTTCCGCCTTGTCAAAAGAGTGGCCACAGGGCGTGGTCACTGGATCCACCAGAGGGGAGGAGATGCAGATAGCACAGGTGAACTCCTGCACACATCGCTTCATAGATTCCGCGAGGGGGGCAGGGAGCTCCATCATGCTTAAAGAAACCGCCGTCCCCCGATGCCTCTGCACTGATCGTCGATGCCTTGGAAGGCTGGATCCTCAGGTGCATCGCATGAGCATGGCACACAGCAGCGAACAAGAGGACATTTTCTGAAAAACGGAGGGTCTGTGCAACCGATCACTGAGCAGGAACATGCCATACAAAGAACAACTGCGCGGGAGTGCTATTGCGGCTGAAGAGATGGTTTTGCAATGCTCTGAAAGCTGCCTTCAAATTCGTGGATTATGTGCTGCTGCCGTGGCGTGTTTCTGGTGAACATGCGATGCTCAGAATGTGGCGACATCCACCCAAGCCTGCCGGTGAACCGGGCACCATCAAGAAACGCTCGCTGCTCTCACGGCATGTGATTAGGTGGCTGTGCGGTCTGAGGGCTCGAGTATGCCGAAGCTGGTCTAGTCTAGTGCCTAGCATGCCTAGGCTAAGGGTTTTCATGTTCTGAATGTGGTGGGATTGCTACATGGCTAATGAGATGATCTCATGGTCTCTTCAATCTTACCGGGCAGAAAACCGCGTGTTTCCGTCATGGGCTGGGCACGATGCAGATCATGCAGAGGCAACCGCCGAAAAAAGCACATGCATGGCAGCGCAACAGTCATCTTTACATCTTGAACGTGCTCGCGAAAGCTACCTACGTCTGATGCACGCAATTCAAGAGACTTGTCTTGCACTTCAGAGTATGTCACGAACACCTTTGCGTCCATTGAAAAATTAAAAGGCATATGGGGCCTCGACAGGAGATGAAGCTTGAAAGCCGGGGCACCGACTAATGATGATGACACGAATGACAAAAGCACCGATCCGAATCTGTAGAAGACATATGAAGAAACGATGATGGCCGCGTGCGATCGGCTGTTATCGCCAGGTCGTGTCAGCAATTACGATCATCGTCATCATCATCGTCGTCATCACCATCACCATCATCAATATTATCACCATCGTCACCATGCCCCGCACTACATCGAATCATCACGACAGCTACTATGCCGCCCGCATGAAGCAGACGAAAAACAACCAGTTGAAAACTTGAGATTTGTCCTTCTTTAGAGTCGAGGCCCGCTCTGTGCCCGAAACTGTTCCAGAAACAAAAGTGGATCGAAGCTGACTGCTGCGTTTTCGAATCAAAGATCCACCTCTGAGGTGGTTACTGATCACTTCAATGCCAACTTTGGCTCAATGCGGAAGGCATTTCGAAGCTCAGCACACTACAAGTAGGGGGCTGTGCGGGCTTCCGTCTGCACTTGCAACAGTCCTTATGATATCGAGCCGCATGGGCTGGCTGAGATGTCCCTCCCAATGGAAGTGAGCAGCTACCCAATTAAAATGTAGTTGAGCTGGTGGTGTTGCTGCGGCATGCAGCTTCCTATGGGATCTGACCACAGTCGGGATGCCGCTGCATGAAGCAAGCACCTGCTCCTTCACTTGCGCAACCTCTCTCGCCGGACCCGCTCTGCTCGCCACGATGCGAAATCCTGAGAAAGTTCCTCGGCCCGACGCCAGCTTCTGGGAAGCGCGTACAGCCCCTCTATCTTCCCTAGACAGCCCGCTGAAGTGCAAAGCGAAGGTACAACCTCCAGCTTCCGCGAGGCATAGGCGCAGGTCTGGCGGCAGGCCTCTTTCGCTGCTGCACGGAGCACCTGATGCAGAGACTCCGCTTGCGATCATAAACGACATTTGGCTAGAAAATGTAAGATCGGAGCGGCGACTGGTCCTGACTGCTGCTACATCTGCCATAATCCGGGAGAGATGCCCCCGCCGGCCTCCTCGGGAAGTGTAATGCCGGCTACACTCGGCACCTCACCTTGCACCTCGATGGACACCCAGCCCACCGCTTGTGACCTGGGCTGCACCAGGGCGAGAGACTCTCTTATGACCGAAAGGAACAAGCAAACACAACTTGATCCCCGAACCGTCAAAGGTCTCGGTCCCTGTGAAAAAGCTATGGATAAGTTGTGGATAAGCATGCAATCGTCGTGAAGATGGGGCGGTGGCCTTCGCTCCGAAATCGAATCGCCCTCGATGCTCAACGCGCCCGTCACGTTCAACGAGAACATGGGCAGAGCTATCTCCTTGATTCGGCACACGCATCGAGCTTCTGCAAAGGAGAAATCAACAAACGGATGCTGAGCTAGTCGCTGCCCCGGTGGCAAACTGAATGCTGGCCCGTGGGTTGCCGAAGGTCCCGATGTCTAAAAACCTGCGGCAAGGTTGACGGACGGGACCCGGACGGATGAAGACCCATGCTTTCGATGTGCTCAGTTCGGGCAAGTATGCCAAGGCACTTGTCGGCATCAGGCCCGTCCATGTTCCGAATCGCGCCGAATAAATTGATAGAAGAGGTTGCTTTACCGAGCCTTTCAACATCCCATGCAACAGAAGCTGACGCGCGAGCACTGGAACCCAGACAGAACGAAAGAAGCTGGTACACGATGGCACCATCATGTACAAGGCCACATGTCCTTGACCCTGTTCCTCTTGCTAGCATTCTCTATCCCCAACACTCGATCTACGAGCTCTGCAGCTTTGGCAAAGAGTACTTGTACCCTAAACCCTTTCAAGCGTCCTTGCAAGCAAGCCGGTAACCTAAACCCTTAACCCTTGTGCCTTCCTGCTACCATGGTTGACTGTGCAGCCGGGAAGCCCCATCAAGTCCAAGGTTGGCAATGAGAACTCATAGACCTGCATGCCCGTTGCGCCGGACTCCAAATCCTCCAGAGCTTCGACGTGCCGGACCGAATCCGCAAAGTGCAAACACGAACTCCATCGCATCTCCACAATGTCAACACGGAATTTCAGCATGGGCAACTCTGGCCTTCGCGCGCTGAATCTTGGAGAAGGCTGGCTTACCGGCTTGCACCAACCGGTCAACGCTGTTGTCCTGGCGGTGACAAATACAAACAATCGGTGGCAGACAACCTAAGGCATAGAAAATCTACAGCTTCTCTAAGGCAAGGCGACCAAGAACTTCATGAGTTTCAATAGAGCAGGCAAGCATCGCTTGGACCATCTCCGTACAGCCACTGTTTGGCAAGGTCGGGCGCACCTTAACGTTTCTGACAACGCAAGTACATGGCAGCAAGTCCCAAAACCAACGAAGCCTTGCTAAGCGCGCCGAGCCACCACCCAAGCTGACTCGGAAAGGTGTCTTGGCCCCGAATTTCGCCCGAGCGCCTCCATCCGCACAGGTGAAATGCAACGTGCAACGGCTGCACTGCACTCCACGACACGACGGACCCACACGGTCGCCTTGAATGTCAATCCATTCATCGGTGAGTGTGTCGGTGCGCTGTGCCGCTTTCGTCGGTGCAGCTTGATGCATGCTTACATGAGAACCTTACTCATGCAAGCCGAGATAACCAAACGAAGCTGAGAAGCTTGCGCCATGGTTGCATCGGAACATGCGACCGAGCAAATGCCCCCTCCAAATGCCCCAAGCCAAGACTCTACTGCGACTGTATCCGGCCAGCGATGGCCAGCTGCCCACACTGCAAGCAGCAACGGAGGAATGCTAACACATTCTGACACTGGTGATGACCACGATATGCTTGCGCTCCAGCCTCTCCATGTCTCACCTAATGATCCTAATACCGCCAAGTTACAACGAGACGACCCTCCAGCTGCACGAAGCCAACAAAAACCACATGGGCCACGATCTCTTCATCCCGGGGCGCGACGGCAAGCCAGCCATGATGAGGCACAAAATCGATAGAAAGCACTCTTTTGTACTCTTGGGGATGCAGCCAGTTCCTGAACCAGTTTACTGCGTCAAATCGGGTCTAATTAATTCATTACTTGTCGTCTCTGAACTGGGTCCGATGCATGCGAGCATCTGGGACAAGAAATCATGGCAGCGGATGCATTCAGTCGAAGCTCCAAGACAAAGTAACGTCACGCCTTCCGCAGTGCGGCAAGGCAGGCGCTGGCCGCGCGTGGCCGCTCAGAACTTGCGACACCAAATGTGGCCTTACGGAACGGTTGGGCAGTGCGCTTTGGAATCATACGACTTGTGGCACCTTCGGCACCGAGAGTGCACCGAGGGATTCCCGCGCGATGTGGACTCGCGCTATCCGCAAGGTGGACGTTGAAGCGGTTGATGTCTGGATGTATTGCCAGAACGGGCTCCGAAATGCTTTACCACAAGGTGATGCTGAAACGACTGATGTTTGGATGTATGCCAGGCCGGGCTCCGAAATGTTCAACTGCAAGGTGGATGCCGACAGATGTGTATTTCCGCAACGTGATGCGAGTTAAACCTTCCCCTCGTACGTACGATTCTTGTTCAACAAGTCACATCCAATTCGGCATTGGAAATAGAACCCGCTCGCTGGCATGTACTGCGACAAGCGAACTGCGCCAAATTATCCTGTGCTCTGCAACAACGACAGCTGCAACTTCTGGGACGTATTGCGCAACTCCCGCCAAAGGACGTGATGCGCGATTGTGTGTTTCGTGATGGTTCTTTTTTTTCCGACGGACCCTTTTGCGAACAATCAAACGCGGTCCCAGTGCAGCAGGCTACGGGGCACAACCAAACCCACTAACCACCCCCCAATCGACGAAAGGACCGGCGTCACCTCATGCGCGAGGCAAGCTGCGGGGCTTCGGACGAGTCAGCGATGTCCTCGGAAGCATCAAGGTTAGCAGTGCCGGGGAGCGGCAATGACAGCAAGCTTGAAGGCTCGCGCAGCTGCGGTGGCCAAAATCCCGGACCACCGTCCGACAAAAGCGGCAACGCAAGCAGCTCGTTAAGGGGCTGTTCCGCGGGCCCGTGCACGCGAAAGCAACCGGATGAAGGGTGGCAGCTTCGGCATTCCAGCGGCCACCAACTTCGAGTCCAAGGACAACCAGCCGACACCGTTGGGCAGCAGCAAACTCGGGGTAAGTGCGTTCCTTGGCCCGGCGTGCATCGGCTAAGGCTGCGCCAGCAGTGTCCCCGCGACGGCGGCGAGGAACTCCGACTGAGGTGTGGGGCGAGACCAGTGTCGTATCAACAGCCAGCTGCGAGCCTCCCCAAAAGGTAACCCATTCGCGATTACCTCAATGCGACGCTC